GATAGATAGATAGATAGATAGATAGATAGAACGGATGGATGGATGGATGGAACGATAGATAGATAGATAGATAGATAGATAGATAGATAGATAGATAGATAGAACGGATAGATAGATAGATCGGATAGATAGATAGATAGATAGATAGATAGACAGATAGATCGAACGGATGGATGGATGTATGGATGGAACGATAGATAGATAGATAGATAGATAGAACGGATGGATGGATGGATGGAACGATAGATAGATAGATAGATAGATAGATAGATAGGTTGTCCTCGTCTTATTTCATAAAGTGTGAACACAGACTCACAGCACTGTATATTCTTCATCAACTCTCTCTTCTCATATCTCATACAAACACATTTAATAAGCAATCTGTGTGAAACACACTCATTATAATATTATAATGATTCAAACTAACGATCCCAAATGTTCAGCTCAGAACTTCTGAGCCTAATCAACACACTTTCATGTGTTTACCGCAGCATTTCTCCAAACCCAATGAACCCCTCACGAGGCCGCACACGCACACACACACCTGCAGATCAGCTATGGTTATCTTGTGGTAGATCTTCTCCTCGTCCCGCCGCTCGTCCTGAGGCACTGTGATGTTAGCCAGCGCCGTCTCGAAGTCCAAAATCTGCTGCATCTGAACTCGAGTGGAATTCTTGTCTCCTCCCAACAACAATCCCAACTCGACCATGTAATCCAGGTAAGCCTTCAACACCTAAACACACACAAACCAGCACAGAGCAGCTATTAGACATGCACTGCAAGCTGGGAAAGACTCAAAGCTCTTGACATTCCAGTGTAAACTGAGACTTTAAGTTCTGCTTCGTCCTACCTTCTCATTGGTCTTATTGAGGTAATAATCTCGGGATGGGAGGAAGAGTCCTGATTGGTCAACCTGAGGAAGTTTACACAGGTGAGCAAACACCAGAGATGTGGTAAATACGACAAATACAATCAAACAAACACTTTCAGCAGAGTTTATTAAACTCAATACAGTGAGTAAATGTACCTGAATGACATTACTGTTGGAGTTTTTGGGATCGACGCTGACACCGACAGTGAAGAAGGGCTGAGCTCTGTAAGGTCCAGAAACTATCTTTAAAACATCCAGAAAGTTGTCTTTGTCCCAGGACTCTGTGATATTCCAGCCTCCTATCTACACACACACACAAAGAAAAACATCAGTTCTAGCAACAAGACTAAGGTGGTATTTGTAGACTTAACATGAACCCAAAATTGACCCAATTTACATTCTTTGTATCTGTTTCTTGTTATGCTGTCCACCAAATGTGTAAATGTTAAACCAAGGCCCGGAGATATTTAAAATGTGGGGGCAACAAATGCTTATATAAAATGAATCATCTGTTTTTTCATATGCCGCGCACAGGACACACTCAAAAAACTGCCATTTGATTGAATTCTAGTAAATGCGAAATAATTGCAATGCTCGGGCAAACCACTATAGAGTTGGTGTCGCTATAGAGTAAGAACCGGTGAATGCAATTTACAAGTTTCATTGAAAGAGAATGACGTGCGCCAAATTAGTCGCTGTAGAAATCGAATACTTTAATGGTTGCGGCCGAAATAGGTCAACACGAGAGCCAGCGCAAACGCAATGACGTGAAATAAAACGTCATCGTGTTTTAAAGAAGAGTGGCTTGATTAAGTGGTGGAAATAGCGGAATGATGGGCACAGAACGGTAACAAAACTCAGAGACATTTACAGTCACACACATGAGTAGTGTGCAAACTCTACTACTCTAAACTCTACTTAGATAACTATATAAGAATTCACGTTCACTTTTTTTTTTAGCTTACAGATCTCAGTTTAAATGCTTCAGTTTGTTTTTATATTATATTATATTATATTATATTATAAACCTAATAAATAATTGACCTCAAAAAGGGAATTCATGAGCAATATCTGCTTCATCTTTTTATATTATATTACACTGAACAAAATTATAAACACAACACTTTTGCTTTTGCCCCCATTTTTCATGAGCTGAACTCAAAGATCTAAGGCTTTTTCTATGTACACAAAAGGCCTATTTCTCTCAAATATTGTTCACAAATCTGTCTAAATCTGTGTTAGTGAGCACTTCTCCTTTGCCGAGATAATCCATCCACCTCACAGGTGTGGCATATCAAGATGCTGATTAGACAGCATAATTATTGCACAGGTGTGCCTTAGGCTGGCCACAATAAAAGGCCACTCTAATTTATAATTTATAATTTTGTTCAGTGTATATTATATTATATTATATTATAATACATTATACAATACAATACATTATATTATATTATTACAAAGAACTGAACTGTTTTGATTTTTTTTATAGATTTTTATAGATTTTCTTGCTAACACAGCACTGTAAAATTATAGGTTAACATTTTAGGTTCTCAGGTAACCTAAAATGTGCATTATTTAGTTAAATCAAGGGTCAACTCAAATATAAATAGCACATTAAAGTTAAAAGTTATACACTTTTTTGTGTGTGCACTGTACAGGTCTGGTATAAAGAATGTTTTTGCTCAAGTGGCCGAAATGTCCGCCCAATAGAGAAAAGTTTTGCTCAGCAAGAAAAAAATTAGAGGGAACATTGTTCATAACCATATATTTTATTAACTGATATAATACGTTTTCTGAATAACTCAAATCTGATTTGCAACTCAAAATTATACGGATAACCACTGTAATGGTAGATACACACAACATAAAATAACGCAATAAACGAGCAATTTCATAAGTAATAACCCCGGAAGAATCTTTTAATTACCTGAATAATAGTATTTGACTTTGATGACGAGGTTACTAAATAAGATCACAAAAATATGCCTCAATGAAGGTAAAAGAAAAATACTCTGCAAATCAATTTGAGGATGCAAATGTTCAGTTTCTAGCAACAAGACGCACTATGGCTTGAAAACTTGAGGAACATGACTCTGATGAGTTCAGGCCGACACCTCATTAAAGCCAATTAAATCTGTCTCGCCTCTGAGAATAAACCTATTCACGGCTCTCTTCAACACTACTCGCTCTGTCACGGTGATCCCGATGACACGAGATGACAGAAAGAGCGACAGAATGAGAGAAAGACAGAGGAGAAGAGCAGCGTTTGTGTTCAAAAGGCAGCTCATCAGAGGCACTATAGATTTTTGTCCTCCATCTTCCCCGCCATACCTCTTTTAAACCTCGCAGGAGGCAGCTGTGTGTGGGGAGGCAGTAAATTAGCATGTTGAAGTGCTGTTTGACATCACTGCTTTGTGTCTGTAACACGGATTAATCTTTCAGGTCTGTGCTGAGGGTTAGTTTCAGAGCTTTCTTCTTCAAAATGGCTGATTCAGAGAGATAGAAGTGCATGAAAACGTCTCTCACTGAAGGATGTCTACATAATTTCAAGGCTCGCCGATTTCAAAACGAGAGGAATAGACAGTATCAGAGCCATTTGAGACAAATTGTCTTGCTCAGCTCAAATAAAAGAGTTGATTTTTAGGAGATGCACAGAAAAGCAATCAAAAAAATTAATCAGGCATCAAATTAAATCAATGGTCATTCGACAAAATTGGTGTTTTGTTTCCCTCATTAACATACGCAAAAATTACTGCAAATGAATAGGAAAACGCTGAAAGAATGTTTACAATTTTACAGAAATTTACTGACACTGACTGACTCAGTTTGCACTCTTTATCCTCCGCACCAGAGGGGGGCGACGTAGAAACACTCACCTTTGCAATCAAGTCGATGAGTGGCTGGGCTCCAAGCTCGTCTATTCGCTGTTCATTAAGACAGGAAAGGTAGTAGGACTGCGTCTTCCTCTCTGCTTCACTGCTTGAGTTAAAGGTGCCATTTTCTACAGGAACGCAAAGGAAGTTGCATCACAAAATGGTAACATTTGATAAGTAAAAGTTTTAAAGAGGTCATATTATGCCCTTTTTTACAAAATGTAATACAAGTCTCAGGTGTCCCCAGAATGTGTCTGTAAAGTTTCAGCTCAAAATACACCACAGAACATAAATTATTCAATGCTGTAAATACATCTTTCTTGGGTGGAAGCAAAAATATGCTGTTTTCGTGTGTGTCTCTTTAAATGCAAATGAGCTGCTGCTCCCCGCCCCTTTCCAGAAGAGGGGCGGAGCATTTACAGCTCATCAACAAACAAAACATGTTCTATTGTGAAAATGTGAATTGTGAGACAAACTCAGAATTGCAAGATATAAACTAGATCTATTTTTCCCGCCACAAAAAAGGGTAATTGCAACTTTTTATCTCACAATTCAAACTTTTCTTCTCAGATTTCTGAGTTTACATCTTGGAATTCTGTTTATATCTCACAATTTTGACTTTGTCTCACAATTCTGACTTCATATCTTGCAATTCTGAAAAAAACATCTTGTGGTGGAAACGAGGTTCCATACAATGCTTCTTTGGTCACTCTATGCTTTCATCAAAATGTTCTTCAAAATTACTTATTTTGTGTTTGAAACAAAATTAGGGTGAGTAAAAAAAAAAGACAATTTTCATATTCTTTTGGTGCTTGGATGCTAAAGCAAAACTGTCCCTCACAGAAATAAAAGACAGGACATGAAGGATGAGAGACAGGAAACAAAAACATCACATAGATAAGGGGGCAGCTTAGAGCACCATCATTAGGGTAAACAAACATGACAGCAGGGAGAACAACTTGCACAGGGTCAACGCACAGGGTCATGAAACAGCCAACGGAGTTTCTCCAGCTGCCTGTCAAGCTGACACAATGGTGCCCTCTGATTGGCTCCCATCATGGCGCATGGGATTATGGTACGTAAACAGAGGCAATTCAGTGCAGGTAAACAGAGTCCGAACCGTGAAGAACTGCAACAAAGGGCCCTGCCATCCATCTTTTTTAATGTCACGTCCATGACAGCTGTCCTCGCGCAACAAAACGTGACGAAACGCAGACGCCATTGGCGAGCCAAATAAGCAGGGTGGTTTTCATCCTCAATAACCTCTGCCATCAGTCGCAGTCAAAACACTGTGTGTCGCAGCTGCCAGCACAACAACAGGCAGAGGGGAAAAGCACTGCCACTTTCATGCTAACTTCATTCACATGAGAAATGGCAAAATTAAGTGGAAGGTACCAGAACAGGTGATTGGCAGTGCTAGGTGCAAATTGGAATCAACAGAGAAACAACCAGTGAGGGCCAACCTGCAAGTACACCATGCAGGTTGACTTCCTGAGGAGTGCAAATACTCTTCGGTGTACATGACATACTGTGGATACTACACCTACCTACATTTTTTGTAAAACTCCAAAAATGTTGCTAGGGTTGGGCCGATAGACGATGCCATCGTCCATCGCCGATGGCTGATAGACATCACAATGTTGAGCCGGCATCATGAGCCCCCCCCCCCCCAATCCGCCGCATCCCAATACCGTGTTCGGAAAGAAAATGATGTGTATACGGAACCCCTAAAGGGAATAAATACGAGATATATTTAAATATTTTCCCTCGCAGTTATATCATTGGGTAATTATACTACGTATATTTCGGGCATCAGGGAGCTGCTATTATGCCTGGCTTTTGCTTTTGAAACTGCTTTTGAATGCACGATCGCTTTTTAGTTTCATTTCACTTTCGAGATTCACGATTGCATGTAGTCTGTTTATACTATGGAGCGGCAGTACTTACTACTTACCACACATTTTACAAGATTAGATGTTTGTCAGCGGTGCTCAGGATCTGCAAATCATTCGCCATCGTCCTCAGTAATCTCTCCTAACTCTGTTTATGTGGTAAGTGAAATTTTATGTACTGTAATGTAACAGGCAACTGTTACACCGTGTCTACACTGGACGCGACAGTTGCCAAAACGCGAAAAAGCGACCGTTGAAAATCATTTGAAATTTGTGTCAGCACGTCATAAATAGAACGCGGCAGCAGTTTACTGTCGGGGATTTGTCGTGTCGTGTCGCACCGCGCCGCATCCAGTGTAGACAGCATCACTGATTATAATGAGTTCTATACACTGATCTGTATATAATGAATCTCTATTATAGATCAGTGGTTCTATAGCATTTTGCCGTGCCTCGCCACTCGTGTCCGGTTTAGACACGGTGTTCAGGAATCGTTATTTGTTTTCCGTGCCTTATAAGGAGCACTCGGGTACGAGAGTCGTGAAACACAAGTCGATAAAAGAGCTCAAAGACTTGTAGACGCAAGCTAAAATGGCACAGTTGCTTCAGCAAATGCATTTTTCTTCACTGTTTTGCAGAAATGTCATCTTTATTTTCGAAAAGATTTTAAATATAATTTTCAAAGTGATTTTTTTTTTTTATGTAATTCAATGTTTTGGGGGAGTTACACCATGTGACATGAATGATCTCACATGACTTTGCTGACAACCGTTTTTTAAATCTTAAAATTTTGACAATTACTTCACTGCTTTTTCATCATAGAATTTGAATTAAACTTGCAATAGTTAATGTAAATGCTGCAATTTCATTTTGTGTTTATAGTGGAACAGAAAAGATACACTTTATCTTTACACATCTCAACCGAGAAAAGAGGAACACACAGGGGTTTGAACAAACAGATAAAGGCACACAAATAATGAGTCACAAATATGCCCACACCCACCCACTCTTGAACACACAATTATGCTTGTCATTGTGACCTTTGATTGGTGCTATTAGTTGTTGTCATGGCAATACACCTCACACATCTTTGGAGAAGGAATAATTCACTCTTCTCCTTGTTTTTTACACACATCTGTGTTGTGCGAAAGAGAGATGGCGTAATTAATCTACAATATGATCATTCAAGCAAACAAGTTGCAAATCCCTAAACCAGCTCTTAGTTTCACATTCTCCTCTGTTCTTGCTCATTTGTCTTTTCCGCTGTATTTTCTCCTCCTAACAGTGCTATTACATTAAGAAACAGGAGGCAGGAATATTCAAGTAATAAATTCTCAGAGGAACAGTGGCAGTCCAATTACCGGCCAGCGGGTCTAGTCTAGAGAGAGGACACACGGTGAGAGAGAAATGGGCTTTGGCACGACTCACTGCTCATCTAGCAGAATTCAGAGCTGATCTCGTTCCATTTCCAGAATTTGCTTGTGTTTGTTTGTGTTTGCTGGGCAAAAGGTGACAGTCAGCCCGGTGCATTGGCACAAAGCGCTCATTTGTCTTTTTCAAAGTGACTCTGTGTGAGGGCAAAGCACGCTGTACTGCTTTGCAAATGCACACACTTACAAACACATAATCTGACTTCATGAATCTGCGCTTTTGTTTTTGCTTAAAGGGGTCATATGATGCGATTTCAAGTTTTCCTTTCTCTTTGGAGTGTTACAAGCTGTTCGTCCTCCTCATAAAACGCCTCGTTTAAACACGCCCCCACATGTCTACGTCACTGTGTAGGAAGATTTGCATAACGCCGCCCAAACGTTCACGCAAAGAAAATGGCACCTTTAAATTAAAATGAAATACAAAAAAAAATAATCTGCAAAAACAATATAATAAATATGACAATAAATATGTATTTTTTATTAAAGTGATGTTTATATTTTTTATTAAATTAATTCATGCAAAACACATGGGAACCATTCAGAACACTCTACCAAACACACAGCAACTACTTAGAACATCACAATCACCTAGCAATGCCATAGCAACCATCCAGAACACTCTACCAAACACACAGCAACCACCCATAACATTACAAATACCTAGCAATGCCCAAAATATGTCATTTATTTTATTAAAGTGATATTAGTATGTTTTATTAAATTAATTTATGGAAAGGCCATGGAGCCTTTATCTTTATCGTATCTTTATATTTTCATTTAAAAAATAATATCATAAAAAGTAAGTAAGTAAATAGTGACCTACACTCTAAAAAATGCTGGGTTGTTTTTTCAACCCAAATGCTGGGTTGAGACCGCTGGGTAAGGACGTTGGGTTGTTTTAACCCAATTTTGGGTTGAAAATTGGTCTTGATCAATAACCCAGCAGTGCTGGGTTGGGAACGTGGACGTGAAAGAGAGCACGCACGTCACGTTAACATCGGACGTATCTCAACGACACCAGTTCGAGAAGCCGCCATTTTCTCAGCGTCTTCAGATGGAAGCGAGCGCGAGTGAATGACGGTTTATGGTAAGTAAAGATTAAAAATGTAAAGTCATCATTCATTGTTTGAGTCCGGTAGTATCTTGAGATTTCATGGAAGGTGGAAATATTCTGAAAAGAGCTTATATTGAAAAATAAGCGGATTTCGCCTCAGAATCAGAAATAGTCTTAACGGCCTCTTTTACTGAACGGAAGAGGTGCTTTTAATATAACGTCAGTGAGTGTCTTATGTCATATTTACATACGATTTTACAATATTTAAATTTTTTGAGGTGTTAA